CCCACCCATCCATCCACATCCATCCATCCCACCTACCCATCCATCCATCCATCCATCCATCCCACCTACCCATCCATCTATCCATCCTATCCATCCTATTCATCCATCCATCCATCCATCCATCCATCCCACCTACCCATCCATCCATCCATCTTATCCATCCATTAATCCATCCATCCATCCATTAGGAATGCTCATCAGGCAGTCGCAGCAGATGCCACAGCTTCTGTCCCTCCATTGGAGGCAGCTTGCTTGTTCTTTCTTCTCCTTTTCTTCTTGCTCTTGCTCTCCTCGTTTTCTGTCTGCAGGACCCTTTTCTTTCCTTCGTTGCCCTTCTTCGATTTCCATGCTGGCTTCTTGTCGTCCTCCCAATCGAAGCCGTACGATTTCAACCTCGATTCCGATATGGCATTGCCTCCAACAGTCCTGTCTTCGCCCTCTTTCTTAATCCTCTGCTCATCTTCTCCCTCTCTCTTAGTTCCCTCCTCCCCTTCCTCCTTCTTGACCAAGCTCGCACCTCCTCCTCCCTTCCCTCCCTCTCCTCCCTGCCACTGCTCCCTGTCCTTCCAGAATCCACCCGGCCCCTGGCGGCCACGTGGCCCCTGACTGCCATTTCCACCCGTCTTCTTCTCGAAGCGGGTTCCCTCTTCATGGCTGCCACGTGGCCCCTGACTGACATTTCCATCCGTCTTCTTCTCGAAGCGGCTCCCCTCTTGATGACTGCCACGTGGCCCCTGGCTGTTATTGTTCCACTTGCCGCCACGAATACCATGTTCTCTATTGGTTTTCTTGTACCCATTCTGGTGATAACGTTTCTGCTTTTGATGATCATGGCGATGATTCTGCTGCTGCTGTTGCTGCTGACCCTTTCTTCTCGTATCCTGCTCCCGCTCGTACTGACTAAGCAATTTATCCCTTACCTCCTTGCCCCTGCGATAAAACTTTTGAAGGAATCGTCGTTCTTCTTCCTCGGTCCTGTACGTGGAAAGGAACTTCAGCGAGACAATGGAATTGAGATCTTTGTCGGGCAAAGTAAGGATATCCTTTGAGGATAAGCCATAATTTTCGGGCTGCACTTGTCGGTACTTGAATCGAGTGGGAAGATCCCCAACTAGGTCCTCGAAATCCAGTTTATAATACTCATCCAGTCGCTTTTCAATCGCTTGTCTTTCCTCCAACGTCAATTCTCTATTCCTCCTCCTCTTCTTCTCCTTCTTTGTCGTCGTCGTCGTTGGCCACCTGTCCCCCCCTCTGTTAAAAGCACCACCTTCCCCATCTTCCTCTTCCTCTCCCTCCTCTTCCTCCTCCTCCTCCTCCTCCTCCTCCTCCTCCTCCTTTCCACCACCACCCCCAGCGGACAACATCTTCTTTACCTTCTCTCTCGCTGCCGCAAACCCTACCTTCTTCACATCTTTCTTATCCCCTTTCTTACTCCCATGTTTACTCCGATACTCTTCTTCAAGCTCAAAATCTAACAATTTCCTATCCTTCTCCTCCTCCTCCTCATCATCATCATCATCATCATCATCATCGTCATCGTCAGATGAAGAAGCAGATGTGCCATCGCCACCATCATCTCTTCCCGATAGATCTCTAGCAGCACCGGCATTGGCCAGCGGGTTTGCATCTCCGCCGGGATCTTCTTCCTCGTAATAATCGTTTCCAAATAGGGATTGCATCTTACGGTCGTGCTCGTCTGGATCGAAATCCTCGTCCGAATCATCACCAATCAACTGCTCCAACACTTTGCTGTCTTTGCTGGTGCCAGCTACCGTCTGAATCATCTCCACCTCCCTCCTCCTCTTCTCCCCGTTCCTCTCCTTCTCCTTTGATCGGTCCGTCTGAAGAAGAAGCCCCTCGGCGGCTAAGATCTGTTGCTTGAGCAGATTCTTCTGCCTCTTCAACTCCTCCTTCGCGGCCGCCATAGCCAGTTTCTTCTTCTCCTTCCTCCTTTCTCTCTGCTTCTTCCTCTTGTCATCCACTCGGCGAACCGATCCCCCCACCACTCGACTGTGTCCTATCAGCTGCCCTCCTTCCTCCTCCTCGAATCGAAAGTTATACTTCCTCTCAAATTCTTCTTGCTTGTCCACTGCCTCTTCGTCTTCGTCCAGATCCCTCCCCACTATCTCCCCGTAGGTGGGGATTCTATTTTTATCTTTGTCCATCCATCCATTATTAAGAAGGTAATTCTTAAGGAACCTCTCATTGTCATCAAGATCGTCATCTCTTCCAAAGTAGTCTTCAAGTCGTCGGGCGATACTCGCATCCTTTTTCCGTTGCTCGGTTTCCGCCACAGCCTCCTCCTCTTCCTTCTTCTCCTTCAGCTTCTCCTTCTCTGTCCTCTTTCGAATCTGCAGCAAGCCATAGCCATCACCTTCATCTCCTCCCTCTTCGTCTTCATTCAATGCATCAAGAAAAGCCTTCTTAAGCTCCAACTGCTCATCTGCATATGTTTTGACACGTGGCACCTCCTCGTCGTCCTCCTCCTCTAGGCCCATTGACCTACCCATCAAGTCTTTCAAATAAATTGGTTTTTTTTTCTCCTCCTTGGTCGTCATCGTTCCTCCTCCTCCTCCTCCTCCTCCTCCTCCTGCTGCTGCATCTTCCTCCTCCTCCTCCCCTTCCTCGTCTTCGTCGCCAAAGAATTTCACGTTCGAATCGTAGATGGCAGGGTCTTTATGCTTGATCTTCACGAGCGTTTCAAAGATCTTTTCATCCACTTTATCGGGCAGAAGACCATCTTCGTCTTCTTCCTCCTCAATGGTTTCTTCACTCTCCTCCGGCTCGCCGCCATCATTTTCCACCTTATTTCCTCCTCCTCCTCCTCCTCTTTCTTTCACACTAGAATTCTTTGTCAGCTGCTTATCCTTCTTCTCGTCCACTCTTGTTCCTCCACGTGTTCGTAATCCATCATCATCTTCCATCCCCCCTGCTTTGCCGCTCTGCTCTTCTTCTTCTTCTTCTTCTTCTTCTTCTTCTTCTTCTTCTTCCACTTCCGCCATATCCTTCTTCTTTTTCTTCATCCTCGTCTCTTTTGCCCGCATACACAGTCAACTGCTCTTTTCGCTCCCTAAGCCCTTGTCATTCCTCTTCCTCCTCCTCCCTCTCTCTTCTTCGCTCCTCCTCCTCCTCCTCCTCCTCCTCCTCCTCCTCCTCCCTCCTCTCTCCTCCTTCCTCTTCTTTCTTCTCTCCTCTCCTTCTCTTCCTCCTCCTCCCTCTCTATTCTTCGCTCCTCCTTCCCTCTTCTTTCTCCTCTCCTCTCCTTCTCTTCCTCCCCCTGTCCTCCTTTCTCCCCACCTCCCTCTCTCCCTTGACCTCCCTCTTCACTCTCTTCAGCTACTCCATCTCCTGACTCCTATCTTCCTGCTCGCCATCCTTCGTCGTCACATCCGCTGGCTTGGTATGAAAAAACTCCCTGCGCAAACCTGCAAATCGAGCGGCACAAACGCACCCCACGCCGACATCAACAATCCACACTTCTTCCTAGTAAAAGCAACCCACCTCCTGCTTCCTCTCTCTCCTCACTCTGCTCTCCTCGTCTCCTCTACCTGCAATCTAAGGGCCTCCTCGCTACGCTACTCACCACATACATTCGCACATTTGGGGCGCAGTGCAGCTAGGCCCTAAATGTGCTGGCCCTTGTCTCGGGGGCCCCGTACGTCGTCCTTTTTCCTGTCGGGTTGGTTTCCTGCTTACCCTCATCCCTTCATGTCAACTCTTCTTCGTCATAAACCCCATAGCCGACTAACTGAAGGAAAGTGAAAAAATATCGTAAGAAGTCGAAGGTGGTGGGTGAAGGACGAGTAGAGGCGGACACCCGCCGGGGGGGAGGTGGGGGCGGGGGGGGGGGGGGGGGGGGAGGGAACGGCGGCGGAACAGCAAACGGGGGAAAGTGGAGGAAGGGGGATGAAAGAAGGAGTGGGCCCACGAAACGTGCGACAAGCTGGGGCGAGGAGGAAGAAAAGGGTCATGAGACGACAGCAATCCACTTAGGGTCAGATCCCACTACCCTGGATTATTCATTTTTCACCCTCGATTATGAAGATCAACGGTCAGAAATGAACAATAGGGGCTAGTGGGATCTGGCCCTTACTTACCGAATACAAGAAGGCGACAGAGGTATTCTTGCTCCCCACGCGTTTGGGCGACAAAGGTGTGCTGCTTCTTCCTGCGGGTTTGGGCGGCAGATACAGAGGTGCGCTTGTTGTTCCTTTCCGCGGATTTGGGCGACCGAGGTGTGCGGCTGCTTTCCCCAGGTGTCGGCGACAGACGCATGTGATTGCTTTCCGCGGGTTTGGTCGACAGAAAAGGTGTCAACAAAGATGCCTACCAGGGGCTAGGTCCCACTTACACGAATTAAGCGATACTGACCGTAGATAGCAAAGATCAACGGCCAGAATCTCTTAATCCGTGCAAGTGGGACCTTGGCCCGGTAGCAGACCCAGAAGCCGCCGGCGGCGCTTCCGATCCTTCTGCCAATTGCGGCCGGCGGCGGTGCAAAGAGCAGCAAAGAGCACTACACCGAAGAGCCTACAGTAGCCCAGTGGATATACCCATGAACTGTTGAAATAGAAACCACGGTTCCAGTCCACGTGATGGAACTTGATTGATGAGTAAAACCAAATACTTCTGAATTGCCTGGGCCGGTCAGCTCAATGGTGATATCTCTAGGCCGTGATCCTTTTATGAAAAAAAAGACCCTTTCATAAAATTTAAAAAAAAAGAAAAAGATTGGGAGAAGGCTAAAGACCTCTTCCCTAGTACAAGTGAATGGGCAGACATAGGGATTGGTATTATCCAGGCTGCTATGGAGGAATTCTCTAGAATGAAAGCGGCAGCTCTTTCATGGAAAGAAAAGTCTTTGTTAGCAATTATTGAAGAAGCGGAAAAATCAATGGGAGAGGACCCTTTTCTGGAATATTACTGGTCAACCAGAAGGACTGCAGCGCGTATTGAATTAGAGCATCTAGTAATCAAGCGTCAATCTGATTGGCTGGAATGGTTAAAGGTTAGAGGAATCTTAGGGTATGACCGGATKACAAAACTTAYCTTTCGGTCCTTGATTCTTCGCCAAGCCAAGCCCCTTAWAAGGGAACTTAACCMCCCCTTSGAGCTTCTGGCCCCTCTGGCAACAGAAACTTCCCAAATYTGTTCATACGCMATGGATTATTTTAAAGACATAGTGTCAACGCGACGCTCTTTTGACACTTTTGATACAGATTTAAGAGAGTCCTCAGATTTTTGGATGATGTCTCGAAGTAAAGTTTCCCTGACTCAAAGGAACCTGCTTGAGGCTCCAATCTCTGAGCAGGAGGCTTGGGTAGCCGCCAAACAAATGGCCCTGGGCAAATGCCCAGGCCCTGACGGTTTGCCCATAGAGTTGTTTTTGTGTGCTTGGGAGGCCTTTGCTCCTTTTTTGTGTGAGATGTATAACACAGTCCTGGAGACGGGCCACTTACCTAGAGGAGTGGTTCGGGGGATGATCTCTCTCCTCTACAAAAAAGGTGACAAAAGGGAGGTTCGCAACTGGCGACCGATCTCCGTGCTTAATGTAACCAATAAACTTCTAGGGAAAATTCTGGCTATCAGACTTGCTGACCTTCTCCCTTCCTTGGTAGGGGTGGAACAGGGAGCTTTTGTGAAGGGCAAATCTATTTTTGATAACATTTTAACGACAATTCAGGCCCTTGAAATTATTGGCAAAGAAAGGATAAATCTAGCCATCTTGATGCTTGACATGGAAAAAGCATACGATAAAGTTGGCTGGGCATTTGTGAATACTACCTTGCTGAATTTGGGATTTGACCCTCACCTTTGCAAGTGGATTAAAGCCTTATATGCGAGTGCAACAGCCTCAGTAGTAGTTAACGGTAAACTCTCTGAAGAGTTTTCGCTGACCCGCTCTCTGAGGCAGGGTTGTCCTCTGGCCCCAATAATTTTCGTCCTCCAGTTAGATGTGCTTCTTGATAATATAAGATTAAATCCCTTAATTGAAGGGTTGAGGACCCCCCCATCACTACAATGGATTGTGGGGGCGATCGCTGACGATCTAACAATAGCATGTATTAACTCCCCTGTTTGTCTGTCCGAACTACGTAGAATTATTGATAATTATTGTGATCTATCAGAACCCTCTATAAATTGGGACAAATCTATTTATTTCCTCCACCCACAATTTGAGTTGTGTGTTGAGTGGGGCCTTCGTCGTATCTCAGCTGATGCCTCTGACAGCTTTCTGGGAGTGCAGGTTTCTCTTTCAGATTGCTCTGCAGTACAGGATAATATTTTGGTGGGAAAAGTCACCGCGAGGATAGCAGGTTGGGAGAGAAGACACACCCTTTCCCTGTTTGGCAGGACTCTGGTTCTATCTGCTGCAGCCTTTTCGACATTATGGTTTCCCATGACGGTTTGCTTATTGGGGGCTGAAGCCTACAAGAAAATTAAGGGTGCGGCAACACGGTATCTCAGGAATCCTTCGGCATCAGACGAACAAGGTTTTATCTCCAAGGTTGCTTGGGAGGCGATCGCCAGACCACGTAACAATGGAGGATTGGGGGTTTTAGACCCACTGATGCAAAATCTGGCATTGCTCTCCAAATGGCCGGTTCAAGCTATGGTGGGAGAGGGGTGTAAAATATGGATGAGACTGGCCGAGCATAGTCTGGGGAGTGAATGGGGCCTAGAGGATCCAACTGAAGTTTGGATTTGCCTCCTGATGCCCTCTTTTTGCCAACGTCGACCGCAATCAAGAATTTGGCGTAATATCATGACTGCATGGAACAAGCTAAAACCCACAGAGTGGAGACGGCCACAGACTAAACAGGAATGCTTGAATCAACTGTTATTTGACAATCCCCATATTTGCCAACCGGATGGTACATTTTTTGTTGTTAAAGGCGACGAATCTAGCTTTGGGAACTCTTGGATTAAAAAAGGCATTCTACAGGTGAAAGATCTGTGGGATCCAGAGATCTCAGATTGGTTATCAGAGGCTACACTCAGAACAAAACTCCCAAGGATACACAATCTTTCACGCAACTATTACGCATTGTTGGAAGTCATCCCTCAAGGGTGGACCTATCTTCTACAAGTGGACTCTGAAAATGCAGCGAACACTTGTCTTAGATCTCCTCACCACATAGGAGAAGTGTGGAGGGTTCTGGGCCCTGCCTCCGAACAGGGCATCAAGGTACAAACCTGGTCCCTCCCCTCTTGCTTGCAGTCTACAGGATATTTGCGGGAAACTGGCGAGCAAACAGTGGCTACAACAACAGATCTAGAGGAAGTTCGAGTATTTTACCAGAATGAGGGGAAGGGGAAGGCTACTGCCATTTTAGGAAGAGATGCAGGCTCCTATCGGGTGAAACCTCTTATGTTTGGATGGAAGGGTATTAAAACTAACAGTTCTTTTACCCCTCTGCTCCAGTACAGCTCAAAAACGGGGGTTGAGATTCTGCGCGCTCGGTCGAAAGTTATTCCGATTTCATTGGCCCTTAAGCGAGCAGAGAGTCAGCAATTGGAAGGGGTTTCTGAGAGTAACTTGAGACTCCTTTGGACGGCCTTGAAGAAGATGCCTTCTCAGAAGCAGGCAACCATTATATGGCTGCAATCCCTACTGGTTACAGCAATTGCAACCCTTCTAGCAATCAAGGGAATGGATGTCCCCACCACCTGTAAACGGTGTAACTGGGGATGGGAAAATCAAGCACATCTCTGGCTGTTTTGCCCTCTTTTGGACGACTTACTGGAATGGTGGAAGAGGAGGTAGCACTCCCTATATGAGCAGGAAAGGATCTGGACCGACAATTGGTGGCTCACAGGGCTCCCTTCTGCGGGACTGTGTCGTACCTCAGGTACAGGGTACGTAGCACTCTGTTGTAGAGGAGCCTTACTTGAGGTCATCTGGTCAGCTCGCAACGCCAAGGTATTCAAGGGTAAAACCGTGTCCTTCTATCAACAGAAAGCCTTGATGTTGTCCAAACTAAGGCTTACCATTTCAGCAGATTGGACTCGACACCGTGCACTTGGTGCCAATAACCTGTCTTGGTTCCAACGCACGAGGGGACTGGCCAGCAAATGGGTGACAGGTAGCACATGAGGATCCTTTTTTCTATCTCCCTGGCTGTTGTCCCAAGAAACCTGAGCAGTAGTTGTAGGGAGTTCCGGAATAATTGGCTTCTGGTCGCTTTAGACCAGTTTAATAATTCGATACAATGTTTGAGATTTTCTTGGTTTTCAAGTAAATTTTGACTAATCCTTTTGAAWCGGTAATTTTGAGCTTAAAGGTCGAACTTTGGAGTAGTGGTAGATTGATATATCAATGACCCTCTTTTTTTGGAAAGTACAGATGGGTTCTGATAGGACTCTAGGTTGGGTTTTTGAGATATTCCAGGAGTTATTCTTAGCAATCTGTTTTTCTGGATAAGTATGGGAAGCTAAACTGAATCCTGCTGCCAGGATAACTCCGGGTAGAATTGTGAGGTCCCCGGCCTTGACTTATTCAGGTTTTAATAAAGACATATGCTTTCCAAAAAAAAAAAAAAAAAAAAAAAAAAAAAAAAAAAAAAATCCACCGCCCCACCCCGAAAAAAAGGAAAAAAAAAAAGAAGAAAGAAAAAAAAGAAATAGGGTCTCGCTCCACTACTATACACTATACAAAATTGTATAGTTCGGGGTCGCTCCACTAACTATACACTATACACGTGAAAACTCCGTTGTATAGTTGTCAGAAATTGGCCATGGATAGCACTCTACATTTGTGTATAGTTCCCAGCCTGCAAAAGTCGTTACTCGGATACTCCTCGAAGGGTGGTCGAAGGAGGCCGCCGTTCGAACACGAAATCGGATAGTCCGCCTGGAGTCTGGGCCGACAAACTGCTGTCTTGTAGTGCTCTTAGGGTGTTTTGTAGTGAACTCAGGAATTGGAGAGCTGTATAGCGGATAGTAAGTGGAGCGACGACGCAGACTATACACGAAATCTCCGTTTTTTGGTACTCTGACAGCTCTACACGAACTCTCCGAAATTTTGTATAGCGGACAGTGGTGGAGCGAGATCCATACACATCTCGGCGAGAGACTCTTGGCCACGAACCTGTTAATCTGTGGGTGGACCGACTGCGCTAACTTTGGGTCTTGAGTCGCGCGTGCGTTGACGGCAACTCCTAGGTGGGGCGGTCGGCTGTCAGCGGTTCTAGGGCGAGTGTGCTACCTGAATGCTCAAGGCCCGGGGGCACACGACGGTTGACACGTGTCGTGCTCTAAGTTTCGTGCCTCGAGGTAGGACTCGATTGATCAACGTTGGGTAGCCACCATCATGATGGCCTCAGCGTGGTG